GGCAACGTCGGCTTCCACCTCAACGCCCCTATCTGCAGCTGCAGTGTTGACTCGCCGTGGATGGGAAGCTTCGTACCGTCCACCATCGTTGCTGTAAACTGGGTCTCTTCTGAGGATTCTTCAATTTTCTCCAACGTCCCGCGGTCGTACACCGAGTGGGACGCACCACTGTCCACCAGTGTCTGGAGGCGTCGCCCATTGCAGATCACCTCGAGTACTAGTGGTTGTTGCTGCTCCGAGTAGCCGTAGATGGTATCGCTTATAGGATCGTAGGGTACGTCGAATATGTCATCCCTAGGTCCTGCGCTCGAAGATGCAGCTTCAATATCAGGTATCACCTGAGTAGGGTTAGAAGGATTTATCCAAGGCTGGTACAGCTTCTCTTGAGCCTGGAACCTTCCCCTAGGCCTTTGCAGCTGTGTAGGCTTCATCTGTGGGGAACAGGGAGCCTTTAAACAGAGCTGCTGGGAGAGAATATTAACTCCTCGGAACGCTCGACCCTTGTTAGCGCTCCGGAGTAGGGTCCCCATATTACCCATTACCAGTTTAATTTCTGAGTCTCCCTTAATAAAGGCTTGAAACCCACGAGAAGTAATATTCTTACTTGTCGGGGTGTACGGCTGGAGTTTCCCAGTCGGTGCAGGGTCTTGTTTCGCGGAGTCTCCATTTGTCTCGGCGATTTCCCCTGGTGCCAGCTGGTCGTGACGTTTTAAACTCGCGCCATCATATTCTCCTTTTTTCGCCCTCTCCGAAGTTGCCACGTTGTCCGTTTTCTGCTTCGGGGGTGCCGCACTGTTCTTGTATCTCAGCTCCGCACGCCTTCCCTTCATTTCCCAACACGCCAAGATACGATGTCCTGTAGCGCCGCAAAATTTGTACGTCTCAGTTTTTGCTAGCCGCTGCTCCACATCGCCCTCGTCGTTCTCCATCGGTTCAGCAGTCGTGGGTGGTGCCAATCGCCCCATGCCACTAGTTGGCTTGTTGCGTCGTGTTCCGTAGTAGCTACTGTTCAACGTGTCGAACTGTTCGATCAGTGCTGCCCAAAACTGCGCCCACGTCCCTTCCCCTTGGACTATTCTGTTGTTGATCCACTCTAGAGCTGGGCCTTGTAACAGTGTTGCTGCGAGCCGTATGCGCATTGCGTCTTCTGTCGGGGTCGTGCATCCAACGGCTTCGAAGTAAATTTCGAGTTCAGCTACAAATCGACGAACGTCGTTCCCTTTAACTATAGGATCGAACGCCTCTGGTAGCCTCAGCTTCACTGCTTCGAGGTTAACTGTAGCTGCTGCCGTTGTCGCAGGTAGAATTGTCGGTGTCGCCGCCGCTGCTGCTGCTGCTGCTGCTGCTGTCGCTGCTGCTGTGGCGGTTGCCGACTGGTTCGCAAGGAGTTTCTTGAGTCTTGGGAGCGCCGCACGTATCTGCTTATGCTCCTTACGTAACTCCGCGATTTTCTGTACTGAAATATCTCTTTTTTTCCTCCATTTGGCGATTTACAGAAAGAAGCGCGACGAAACAATTGATTTATGGGTGGTGGTCGACTTACTGCGAGTCGAATCGACTGTAAAAGCAACGAGCGCAAATTCTGAAAGTTACGTAAATCTCCCTTAGTTGAAATTCGCGTTCGGTCTCGGCCGTTGAGAAGAAACTCGATCCGACGCTCCAAATTCCAACTTTTTGGGGCGAAATTCTTTAGGCCGTTGAGATGAAACTCAATCGAACGGTCGAAAACTCCAACCTTTTACCAGTAAATCTGAGGGGTGTTCGAAAACCGAATCGAGGGGGACTTAGAAAAATTGCGCGGAACTGGTTTTACATACCCGTATCGGCGCCTTCGTCGTCGCCCCCGCGGTTTTTAAAGGCCGGAACTACGCGGTTGAAGACCTCGCGTGTAAACCCGCTCTGATTACCAAGTGTGAGGATCTGGTTCAGGAAAGATGATTCTATTGAATGATCCACCTGGGTACAAGGCGAGGCTATATATAGGCTCGACACAAAGGCAGTAACCCGGGTGTTACTAGAAGGTTCCGCGGGTCGCGAAGCGTCCCGAACGGGTCCTTCCCGAATTCGGTAGAAGGCAATTCGGTGGCAACCGAAAAGCCTAGAATTCGGTGCACTCAACCTAGTTCGGTGCCTACAACTATAATAACTATAGTAAAGGCAACGAATCTAGGAAATCAAGCAAAAGCATGCAAGATAAAATAAAGCTAAGCTAGTAATAACATAATAAAGTCCAGGCAAGCTAGCAAAGCCAGCATAAGCCGTCGTACTCTCACACCTGCGCAATTCATACATCGCAATGGATCCTGTTACCATGAGTCGTCTACTCAGTCAACTAACATCAGTGAAAATGCAACAAGGGGAGAAAGCGAGGCCGTATATTAATCGGTGCCGCAATCAGCGTGATCACATCAAGAAGTGTGGCGGAACCATCCCTGACGACATGTTCGTCTCGATGGTTCTCTCTGGCCTTGAACCCGATTGGCCTCAATGCCAGTCGTTGCTCCGCGCACGAGCAACTATCTCCGAGTCCGCCCTTTGCGCCACACTCCTCTCTGAGCAGAAGGATATCGACCTGTACAATGAGAAGAATAGCAAGCGGGAGAAGTTAGTGTTCTTCATTGTATCGACTGAAGGGGGACAGCACAGAAAGAAGTGAACATTCTGCAAATATTGCAAAAAACCAGGACACACCATAGACCGGTGCTAGAAACGAAAGACTGCTGACGAGAGGCGCAACAAAAACTTATCTTGTCAGCAGCTCTCGGCGCCCCCCGCAACTCCTGCCGCGACAGCGACCATGTGGCCACCTTCCGTTGCAAGCACTTCGCAAACCCCTGCACGCATCTCATCCAAGGACAAGGGAAAGGGATCAATCCTGAGCTGTATGGTGTGTCGTAGAGGTATTCGCTACTTTGACGGAACTGAATTCGCGCCAATTACGTCCTACCCTCCAATCACACAGAGCCCGAACAACGATCCCACACTTTGCCCCTGGATCGACAAACATCCCACCTGATTTTGAGCCACATCCGAGCACGCCGGAGTCTCCTCCCAACTTCCCCACAAGAGACTACAACAATCTCTCATTGTTCTACGTCGATCTTAACCGCATCATAACTCCAAAAATCGTCGGCATCGCACGCCAGAGCCGTGAGAACTTCAACACGCTGTTGCGGACATCACATGGTGGGATCACCAACTTTCATCAGCAACTCAAGGCGCATGCGGCGACCGTGCGAAATCACAGTCGCAAACAGTAATCTACTCAAGGCGTACAACATCGGAGAAATCTACCTTGAAGTTGTGGACGCCCGCTTCACCATTCACATCAGTGACATGTTGGTCGTTCCCGATCTGGAGTACAACCTGCTCTCTTCAGCACAACTCATGAGGTCTGGGGTTGACATTCGAAGCAACAGCAAGGAGAAAAGCTTCGAGCTGTTCTACAAGAAAACTTACATTGGGAAAGCATTCGACAATGACGGAGTCTTCATACTAAAATTTACAGTGCAAGGCACGATGGGCCACCCCGAACGGACCCTTCTGCTAAAAACATCACCTACGGAGGCGCCGACTTGGTCGCACCCTAAGGAGATTGACCTCGAACGCTCGACATCAGACGGAATCCTTCGCCTCCGCGCCTTCCCAACCGCTTCAACCTCCACTCCCGGAGACACCGGACCTACAACAATGGAACAAGAGGAAGGCAACGGGAAGTCAGCAACTGCAGAAGGTGTCAACACCGGAGGATGGGGAATAACATGACCGTCTCACCCAGCTGGGCAAATCCCAGTCCTACAGTCGGAGCATTGGGAGTAGTTGAACCACCAGCGGAAGGAGCTGGGCCTAGGGGCGGATGGGGACTGTCAACTTCCAGAAGCGGATGGGGTCCACCAACCCCTCCCTATCCTAAGGCTCCGGCACTTCCTCTTGCACACGTGGCGAAAATCGACCCGTACTGGGCAACGCGCGGCACCAGCTGGGGTGGACTCCTCTTCCAGACTAGTATGCTCCTGACACACCAAAAGCACAAGCGGAGTCAGAAGAAATGACTTACGAGTTCGGAGGAGCAGCGGAATTACCCGAACCTACCGAGGAAGCACCGTCGCTGGAGCAAGGGCCTCAACTGATTCCAATCGCAATGGACGAATTGTTAGAAGGAAATGCTGCCATGAGCAACAAAGTGTCGGTGCTGGGATTCGAACTTGTGACCTACAAATCTGTCCTGAAAGTGTCTCAGGACAGATTCCGAACAGTTTCTGCTAAGGTGCTGGTTATGCTGCACGCGAGTTTCGAACTGGAGACCTTTCGATTCAAGTGTCCCGAAAGTGTCTTGTCAGGACAGATTGGGGACAGTTTGGGAACAGTTTGGGGACTGATTGGGGACAGTTTGGTGAAAACGATCTTCGGGTCGCGTTCGCTTTGAAACTCAACAGCGAAGTGTCGTAGTTAACAGAATTCGCACGGGAGTTACAGTCGGTGGTCAACGGTAATTCTCGTCTACGGAATTCCAGTCAATGGAATTCGCCTGGCGAAATTCAAGGCTCGGAATTTCGCGTCGACGAAATTCAACGCGCAACCCGGGTCAACACTTTCTTGTGTGCTTTGTTTTTGTATTGCGTCCTAGTATAAAACCAGAGAGCACAAACAAGAATTCATCCAAGTCATTACTACTGCTATGTTTGTGTGTATCTCTGGCTATAGTGGACCGTTTCCTGCAATCTTTGGTGCGTTGGAATCGTGCTTTTGAGCTCTATCAAGCTGCTAAAGTAGTGGAATTCTACATGGTATCAGAGCTGTGTTATATTCGTCGATCCAACTAGCAGCTTGATTCCGTCCTCCCGTCACTTCGATCATACGTTGGTGTGGCCTATGCTTGTTTTGACTGCAAATGGAGTGGTTAACGAATGCTGAGGGCTTAAGTGCCCGTCAGGAGCTGGAGGCGTCCGTTCAGGAGCACCACCCTAACTTGAGTGATGAGGAGATCGACCTCATTGTGGATGGTCGTCTACTACGCATGGTTAGGGAGCGCGCGGCGGAGCAAGCACCTGCGAGCAACCAGCAAGGAGGGACCGGTGAAAGAGGAGCTGGGCACGACCATTGACACGGGCGTGGGCGTTGGTGGAGGAGCTGTTGCACCGACCATTGACACGGGAACGATCGGGGCGAGCTACGGCCAATTCAAGTTTGGAGTATAGCACATCTCCGTGACGGCGCTGCTGGAGGGAAGGCACGACCTCACCGCGTGGGTCAACGCTATCCGACCTCAACTCTAGTGTGCTGATTTGTGGCAGTTTTGCAACGGGACAGCACCAAGCCCGGCCCCAAACAACCCCATACAACGAAGGGAGTACGCGAAGGGCCAAATGCTCGCATTCACGGTGCTGAATCATTGTGTTTCTCCACCCATCCGAATGTCTATTGCTGGTTTCTCTCAGCAAGAGAAAGCCGGGCAGATGGCATGGGCATACATCTTGTCTACCTATCAAGCTCGTGATGCCCTCCACGCTTCCCTACTTCAGACCCAGTTAGCCCAACTCAGGAAGGGAGATGATGAGACGGCGGAATCCTACTGCAATAGGGCCCGCACGAATCGAGCGGAGCTGCTGACCATTGGACAGGAGGTCCACATGGCCACGTTTGCCGCTCACGTGCTGAAGGGCCTGCCACCGGAGTACGCGTTTCTTTGCCGCAAGCTTGATATTTCCAGCCCTGACATGACGGTGGAACGTGTGTGCAGCGAGGTGTTGATGGAGGAGCAGACTCTCTCTATTGAACAGAGCTACAAGCAAATCACCAGTGATGCATCTGCTTTCTCGGGCGCTGTGAACACGATCGTGGCTGCAACGGGGGTCAACGGGAAGGAAGGAAAAGGAGGAAAGGAGCTGACGGACAAGAAGAAGGATGGCAAGCGGGAGAAGAAGCGAGCCCCCTTCAAAGGGCGCTGCTACAACTGCAATGAGGAGGGGCACATGGCTGCCAAGTGCCCCAACAAGAAGAAGGATGCAACGCCTGCAGCAGCCGCGAACGTAGCTGAAGGAGACGGGAAGGGCGTGGCGCTCACCGTCGCGTGTTCGGCTGCAAGGTTGCTGGCCGATGACGAGGACTTGTGGTTCCTCGACTCGGTGTGCTCCCAACACATGACCGGCCGCAAGGAGTGGTTCACAGGGATTCGTGACCCATCTGCAACAATATCCGTCAAAGGGTTTGATGGTTCTATGCAGGAAGTCGCCGGTGTTGGTGAGGTTTTGCTGGAGGGCACTAACGGCTTGCGTGTGACCCTACATGATGTCCTCTTTGTGCCAGGAATGAAGGCCAACTTGGTCTCCCCTGGGCAGCTCATGGACAAGGGAGCAAACCTGCAAACCGAAGAAGGCGTGACTCGCATCATCGCATCGGAGGACAAGTGACTGCAACGGCACGCTACCGCCATCGTCTTCTCTGCCTTGACCTGAAACCGTGGTCAGCAAGCAACGGCACGATGGCTGCAACGGCATGCAACGGCACGGTGGCTGCAGCGGCATCCAACGGCACGGTGGATGCAGCGGCATGCAACGGCTCGGCGGCTGCAGTGACATGCAATGGCATGGCTAAGGCGGTTGCTGAAGTGGCGTCAAGCAACCCGGGAACGAAGGCAAAAGCGGCCAGCCTCAAGGCGTACGCGGTGGGCACGAAGGCAACGCCCAACCTGTAGCATGCTCTCCTTGGGCACATCCACTTCGATGCAGTGAAGCGGACAGCCACGAGCGGCGGCGTGTTCGGTATGGACCTGGAGAAAGGAGGTGAGGATATGCCGTGCACCTCCTGCCACGAAGCAAAGCTCACTCGCCAAACATTTCCGCTGCACGACGAGCGAGAGGAGCAGGTTCTTGGGCTGGTCCATACTGACGTGTGCGGTCCATTTCAGACCCCAGCCATGGACGGAAGCAGGTACTACATCCTTTTCGTGGACCATGCCTCGCGATACACCTGGGGGAAGACATTGAAGCTGAAGAGTGACGCGCTTGCTGCCTTCAAGGAGTGGCTTCCCGAAGCTGAACGCCAGACCGGGATGACACAGAAGGTGTTGCAGTCGGACCGGGGAGGAGAGTTTATGTCAAACGAGTTCCTGCTACTGCTGAAGCAACGAGGAATCCTTCATCAACTTTCCTGCCCCTCCACCCCCCAACAAAATGGTGTGGCTGAACGCCACAACCGTACGGTAACCGAGGGCATGCGTGTGATGTTGGGGCACATGGGGGTGAAAGCACACTGGTGGCACTTTGCTTTTCAGCAGTTCTTGTAGGTGGTCAACCGTGTGCACCAGTCCACCCTGCCCCATGGTGTGACCCCTCATTTGGTGGTGTTCAAAGTCAAGCCCGATGTGTGTTTGGATGCATGGTGCAATACCTCATTCCTGAGCATGAGCGTGAGGGGAAGCTTGCAAGCAAGACTCGTTGGGGCATGCATTTGGGCATGAGCATGGAAAGCAAGGGATGGCGTGTGGTGGATGTTGAGTCCAAGCGCATGGTCATCACCCGGGATGCACGTTTTTATGAGGATATGTCACTTGAACGGTGGCAGAAGTGGCGTGCACGTGTTGGTGATGGGAATGACCAGCCCACACCACCCTTTGCTTCAGTCCCATCTCTCTTTCATGAGCCCCACAACCCCGAGAAGAATTTCCCCCACCACATACCGTCATCGTGGTCCCGGTGCCGTCCGTCCCAGTGGGCGAGCAACCCCTTGATTGCTCGATGGGCCCTTTGGGCAGCAAGGCACCTACTGCACCTCCTCCTCTCGGTCCACCCTCCGTTGCTGATTTGGCGCCCATGGGACCAGCGGATGGTCCCCTTGAGGACGGAGGCGATACGGCTGATCATGAGGAGGAAGGAGAGGTAGCAGTGGATGAGCAACCATCGGTGGCCCATGAGCATGAGCCTTCATATGCAGTCCCCCCTATCCAGCCCACTCCTCCACCCCCACGTCGCTCTAGCAGGCCCAAGAAGGGGGTGCCACCCGTACGGTTTCAGCCATCAGCCATGTCGGCCCAGGATGCGGACTATGAGGAGAACCCGTATGACATGGCGTACCTTGCTGAGGACGACTGCGACACGGACAGCGATGACGAAGTGGAGTACCCGGACGAAGATGAGAAGGAGGAAGGCGCTTGGGGAGGTGTCATCCTCGACCTGGCAGCCGCAATGACCGGACCTGAAGGCAAGGAATGGTGGGCTGCTATGAAGGAGGAGATGGAGAGCCTTGATGAGCAAGGCACTTGGTCGTTGGCCGACCTACCTGAAGGTCGCAAAGCAGTCGGCGTGAAGTGGCTATTGAAGAAGAAGCTGCGGCCTGATGGCACCGTGGAGAAGTACAAGGCCAGGTTTGTGGCAAAGGGCTTCAGCCAACGCTTCGGCATCGACTACGATAACACCTACGCTCTTGTTGGCAGCTACACCACCGTTCGCGTGCTCCTCTCAATCGCAGCAGCTATGGACTTAGATTTGCTGCAGCTTGATGTGAAGAATGCATTTCTTCACGGCACCATCGATCACGAGATATACATGCAGCAGCTGCCCTACTTCACCGACGGTAGCAGCAAGGTGTGCCTCCTGCACAAGAGCCTTTACGGACTCAAGCAGAGTCCCCTTCTATGGTACAAGGAGTTGGACAAGGTGCTCCTTGTGGAGGGGTATAGGAAGAGCCTTGTGGACCAGGCCCTATACTACAAAGATGGGGTGAGCGGGAAGCGAGTGTGGCTGGTTATCTATGTGGATGACCTGCTGGCGGCACGTGAAGACAAGCAGCTGCTGCAGGACCTGAAGAAGCTGCTGGCCAAGGCGTTTCAGCTCCGTGAGGTGGAGTCGGTGGAACGCTACCTGGGGCTGCAGATTGTGCGCGACCGCCCCAACAAGACACTCCTTCTGCACCAAAATGCGTTTGTGGCAAAGGTGCAGCAGCGGTTCTTCAAGGGGGCGCCACCGAAGAAGCAGCCCATCACTCCTCTCTCCTCTGCCAGCTTTGCCAAGCAGGATGTTGGGCAATTTGCCGACCGAACCATGACCGAGTACTTGTCAGTTCTCGGCATGGTGCAGTTTGCAGCCAACTCAACCCGTCCTGACCTCTCATTTGCGTGTAGCCGCCTTGCAGCAGGTGCACACCTAAGGACAGATGCGCACTGGCATGAGCTCTTCCGCACACTCTCCTACTGGGCTGCCTCACCGGACATGGGGCTGCTGTTCAAGGGAGGACCAGAGAGCTTATCTCTGGTGGGGTATGCGGATGCGGATGATGCGGGCGACAAGGAGAATCGGTCGTCCACAGGAGGCTACCTCTTCAAGCTTGGGGGAGTTGCAGTCTCGTGGCAGGCTAAGAAGCTTCAGGGTGCGACCAAACTTTCCTCCACCGAAAGCAAGCTTATGGCTGCGGTGGAAGCGGGAAAGGAGGGGCGCAAGCTACGGTTTCTGCTGTGGGAGTTTCAGCTGCTCAATAAGGGTGTTCCCACCAACCTGTACGTCGACAACATGTCAGCGGTGCAGCTCAGCCAGGCGGGCGGGCTGCAGGGGCGCATGAAGCATGTGGACCGTCGCCACATGTGGCTGCAGGACATGGTGCGCATGAAGAAGTTGGAGCTGCAGCACATCTCCACGACAGCGCAGCCCGCGGACTTCTTCACGAAGCGGCTCGACAAGGCAGCCTTCAACCGATGCTGTGCAGCAGCCGGGCTGGTCCAGCGTGCTCCTGACAGCAAGGGGGCGTGTTAGAAGGAAATGCTGCCATGAGCAACAAAATGTCGGCGCTGGGATTCGAACTCATGACCTTCAAATCTGTCCTGAAAGTGTCTCAGGACAGATTCAGGACAGTTTCTGCTAAGGTGCCGGTTATGCTGCACGCGATTTTCGAACTGGAGACCTTTCGATTCAAGTGTCCCGAAAGTGTCTTGTCAGGACAGATTGGGGACAGTTTGGGGACAGATTGGAGACAGTTTGGCGAAAACGATCTCGGGTCGCGTTCGGTTTGAAACTCGGCAGCGAAGTGTCGAAGTCAACGGAATTCGCACGGGAGTTACAGTCGGTGGTCGACGGAATTCTGGTCGCGGAAATTCTCGTCTACGGAATTCCAGTCAATGGAATTCGCCCGGCGAAATTCAAGGCTCGAATTTCGCGTCGACGAAATTCAGCGCGCGACCCGGGTCGACACTTTCTTGTGTGCTTTGTTTTTGTATTGCGTCCTAGTATAAAACCAGAGAGCACAAACAAGAATTCATCCAAGTCATTACTACTGCTACAACATGAGCCTCGCCACAAGGATGAGGGCCCTATTGAAGCAGTCGGCCATCCCAAGAAGGTTTTGGCCTTTTGCGATGAATCATGCTATTCGGCTGCACAACTTGCTGTACTCGCGAAGCCTCGAGAACAACACCTCGCCTTACAAGGCTTGGATGGGCAGAAAGTCTGACACGCGTCTTCTTCGAGTGTTCGGCTTCAATGGTACAGTATAGGCCACACACAGCAAGGACCGGAAAATTTTCGGATCGGGCATACTGGGGCATACACCTCGGGATTGCAAAGGAGTACAAGGCGTGGATCGTGCTGGACTACGCGACACACAATGCCGATCACCGTCGCCGGACTCGTCGCGGTGTGGGAACGCTGGCCCGACCCGGGCTGCACTCCCTGCTGGCCGACCACCGTTGCCGACCGCAGGAGGTCGTTGGCCAGCCGCGCCGTGGCAGCACCCGGTCGCGCGCCCTGACTCGGCGCCGTGCTCGTCGAGGGGTGAGGATGCTGGCCCACAGCGGGCTGCCCTCCCTGCTGGCCGACCACCGTTGCCGCCCGCAGGAGGTCGTCGGCCAGCCGCGCCGTGGCAGCACCCGGTCGCGCGCCCTGACTCGGCGCCGTGCTCGTCGAGGGGTGAGGATGCTGGCCCGCAGCGGGTTGCCCTCCCTGCTGGCCGACCACCGCTGCCGACCGCAGGAGGTCGTCGGCCAGCCGCGCCGTGGCAGGACCCGGTCGCGCGCCCTGACTCGGCGCCGTGCTCGTCGAGGGGTGAGGATGCTGGCCCGCAGCGGGCTGCACTCCCTGCTGGCCGACCACCGCTGCGGACCGCAGGAGGTCGTCGGCCAGCCGCGCCGTGGCAGCACCCGGTCGCGCGTCTTGCGCAGGCGCCGTGCATCGACGACGCGAGGGCATTTGGGAGGAGGCTAAACCAGGCGGCACCAAGTCCCTGTTGGGTCGCGGAGGTGACCGCCTTCACCACGACTTCCCTGAGGTCTTCGACGAGTTTCGCACTCACGCCGGCGGCGATCGCCTTCGCCTCGCTCTCCATGACGGCCTTCACCTCAGCCTTCACGACCGTTTTGATCTTATCGCCCAGAGCATCCGCCACACCTCGCAACAGCAGGTTGTCGTCTTCCCGTCGCCTATCGTTCGCTGCACCGGCCGCCAGGTGCAAGGCCTTTACGGTGGGCAGCCAGTTCTCGTTCATGTGCTCTATGAGGGAGCCGCGATAGTTCACCGCTTGCTGCACGGTCTGTTAAATTGTAATGTGTTATATGTTGGTAGGCTGTAGTGGGGTAGCCAATATGGGGTACAACCCCAACTAGGGTTTGCTACTTGTACCCAACTGTTCCATTCAATGCACTCATTCTTGCCTAGTTCTTCTAACATGGTATTCAGAGCAGGAGGTCCCTAGGACCTACCGACCGTTTTTTTT